TCAGGCTTATTTATTTGAGGACTGATTTTGAATCATGGTACTTTCTTCCACACCACTTGCTTGTATCCCGACTTCTTTGTAGAAGGCCTGGCTTCATGGGTTTGTGACACATGAAAACTTACAGGGCCTTGTATGCAGAAGGGCCTGGTAGTTGGCTTAATGCTTTGTCCTTGCTATGCTCATATCCTCAGTAAGCTTTTAAGAAATTACTTTATTTATTATTATTATTATTGTGTGTGTGTGTGTGAATGCATGGTGTACATGTGTGTGTGTGTTTGGGGTGTGTGAAGGTGTGTGTAACGGCACCTTTGTGGAGGTCAGAGGACAACTTTGTGGAGTTGGCTCTCATTGTTTACCTTTCCATGGGCTCTGGGGACTGAACTCGTGTTGCCAGGCTAGCCCATCATTTTGTTTTGGGTTTTATAAACCCTACCACCAGTCCTGTTTGAGAGTCTTTGAATTGCATTCTCAGAAGACAGGAAGGGATCCATTTTCTTTTTTTTTTCCACTCTCGCCTCCCCTCTTTCCCCCTAATGCAGAGTAACCCAACTTGCTTAAACAGAGATGGGGGAGAGAGAACAGTAACAATAAATATTTGAGAATTGTTTGACATCTAATTTCCTGCAACCTGGACATGAGCAATCCATGATTGCTGTTTCACGGTGGTATGAGCTTGCAAGGTATAAGCAAACACCTTTGTGCCATCTGCTTAGACAGCTGTGTCTCTATCTGCCTTTCTGTCTGTCACCCAACAGCTGCTTATATGAAATCTGTCCTTTCTTACCTCTACACACCCATTCAGCATGGACTGAGCCAAGATGAACATATCCACGCTTTCAGGCCATCCACAGCCCGGATCTTCTTCATTGAGTAGCCCATCAGGGTGTTTTTATGGCCTAAAAGTGTTTGTGGTATGACTATTCAGGAAACTGGATATGGAATTAGTGCTGTAGATCTCATAGCCTAGGCTGTGGTTTTGACCAGTAGAGCCTATCTAAGCTTTCCAATGAAAAACTATCATAAGGAACACAAACAAACACCCAAGCATTGAGAATAAAATAAATTTCTCTTGTTCAGGGAACTAATGTTTGAGGGTAAATTTGGTTCCAATCAATTAACATATATTTAGGGATCCATATGATGAGCAACTGTGGTTGTCTCAATGTAATTGGTCCCCTGTAAGCTCATAGGGAGTGTCACTATTAGGAGGTGCAGCTTTGTTGGAGTAGGTACGGCCTTGTTGGAGGAAGTGTGTCACTGTTGAAGCAGGCTTTGAGGTCTCATACATGCTCAAGCCACACCCAGTGTCTCAGTTCACTTCCTGTTGCCTTTGGATCAAGATGTAGGATTCTCAGCTCCTTCTCCTGAACCATGTCTGCCTGCACACCGCTGCCATGTCCCACTATGGTGATAATGGACTAAACCTCTGAACCATAAGCCACCCTATTAAATGTTTTTCTTTATAAGAGTTGCTGTGGTCCAACTGAAAAACGGGCAGCTCCCAGCCCATCATCAGAAGGAGTCAGAATCACCTTGAAACTAAATATTTGAGTTTTTAAACTTGGACTTCAGCTTGAACATCCCATTTCCTGGATTTTGAATATCAAATTTTAAATGTATTTTTAAACCAATAAAGGAGAAGTAGATTAAAAAAAAAAGAGTTTCTGTGGTCATGGTGTCTCATCACAGCAATAGAAACCCTAACTATGAAAGTAACACGTGAGATGCTTCCTACATATTGATTTATTTTACTCTCAAGCAAAGTTACTCATGGTCTACTACTCGTTACCATCGCTGACAGAAGCACTCAAGCTCAGAGGAAGTAACTTGCCTGAAGTCCCATAGCCATCACCTGTTACAGCTAAGGTTTGAATCTGAGCATTTAACCACTGCAGCTTCCTCTAGTCCACCAGGCTCTAGGGCAGTGTATTCTCAACCTTCCTAACACTGCCAACCCTTTAATACAGTTCCTTATGTTGTGGTGACCCCCAACCATAAAATTATTTTCATTGTTGCTGGTGACCATGTCAGAGGAGCAGCAGATTGAAGTTTGAGGTGTCATCCCGCCCGGAGGCGAATCCCGGATGGGTGAATCTTGGTGAAGCAAGGCCTGAGACCACAGACTCTAGAATGTGTTTTGCTTCTGCTGTGCCTTCATATGTTTGCTGCTGCCATCTTTCTCTGGCATCTGGCATGGAGTGACTGGATGTGGGGAGATCCCCACTGCTTGTAACGTAGTGTGTTTATCTCATGGAAACATCCTGTTCTGCTGGGCACGGTTACCCATTGATTATTATGAAGATAATTTCTTCCTAAGCAGTGCTGTCTAATTGATAATAATAATGTTAGTCTAAATATAGCTTTGAGGAGCTGCATAGACTGTGGCTTGGGTTAATGATTAAGAAAAATAATTAATTGTGGGTCACTGCATCTGCTTCCATCAGTTACTGGATGTAGGTTCTAGGATGACAATTAGGGTAGTCACTAATCTGATTAAAGGGGAAGGCCCATCCTGACACCCTCTCCACTATTTCTAGGAGTCTTAGCTCATCTTTGTGGATTCCTGAGAATTTCTCTGGCACTAAGTTTCTCTCTAACCCCATAATGACTCCCTCTATCAAGATATCTCTTTCATTGCTTTCCCCCTGGCAGTGGCACCAGTACCTATCACAGGTACATGAACTGACTCTTTGGAGGCCATTTCTTATGTGGGATAGCTTGCTCAGCCTTGATACAGGAGGAAGGGTCTTGGTTCTGCCTCAAATTGGTATGCCAGACTTTGTTGACTTCCAAGGAAGGCCTTACTCTCTCTGAGGAGTGGATGATTGGGAAGTGGGAGGTGGGGAGGTAGGAAAAGGGGAGGGAGGGGGAACTGGTGTTGGTATGTAGCATGAAAAATAATTTTTTTAATTAAAAAAAAGAAAAATAATTGAGTCCCAGTAGCCCAGCTGGTTTAGATTTTATTTTATTTATTATTATTTTTTTTGAGACAGGATCTCTCTGTATTGCTTTGGAGCCTGTCCTGACACTAACTCTGTAGACTGGGCTGGAGATCCACCTGCCTCTGCCTCCCAAGTGCTGGGATTAAAGGCATGTGCCACCAATTTCCAGCTGCCCAGTTAGTTTAAATTCTTCTGAACATAATGTTGGGAGATGTGTTTACAGGTTTCATAGTGCTTCATAGCTGAAACAAAGATTTGAAAATAACTTAAGATTAGACTAGATGTTTTTGTCAAATAGCTTTGAGGTAGAAAAAAACCTAAGAAGACAATCTAAAATTTTAGAAAGGCACATAGTTGAATGAGGAACTCATTAAAGGTTAGGGAACAAGAGTTAAGCTACTGATATAGTGGTCTAACCCTTCCCCCATTGTTATGAATTGTCTTCTCCTTTCATTGGCTCTGAGCAATATGAAAAGGACTGCATTCTTTCTGATCCCTTCATTATCCTTGTATCTTGTGTCTAATAGAACAAGATCCTGCCGGGCTGTGGTGGCGCACGCCTTTAATTCCAGCACTTGGGAGGCAGAGGCAGGCGGATCTCTGTGAGTTCGAGGCTGGGCTGGACCGATAGCCTCCAAAACAATACAGAGAAACCCTGTCTCGAAAAATAAAAAAACAAACAAACAAACAAACAAACAAACAAACAAAGAACAAGATCCTAAGATGGTTCAATATGCATATTTGCTAAGCCAAATAAATTTATTTTGTGAAACATAGCTGTTAAGAAATATAGCCATTATGCTTCTGCAGTCATTGTATGGCTGTTCTGAATTACATTTCTCTCGGTGTCAGGTGGAGTGAATTCTAGAGGTACAACTGTTGATTCAAATACAGAGGTAAGTCTTTTGAAGAATTTATGTCCCAACTGAATAGGAAAAGCCTTTGTGTGGGCACGGGTGGAATTTGGGGGAGGAGATGCTTTAAAAGGTCAGGTCCCTTTATTTCAACACCTAAGGGAGAGGATTAAGTGGGAAACACATTATTCCTCACAGAGTGGTCAGAATGGGCAGCCTATATCATAAGACCTTCTACTAGCTAGTTCTCAACCTGCGGGCTTTGACCACCAGAAAATACTTATTTCTGACCCTTTTTAGGGACCCCCAATCACACATTTATTTTTGTTGCTACTTCATAACTGTAATTTTATTACTGAGAGGTGTCTGAGTCACTAAGACCATTAAAAGAAGTATGAAAGTATGTTTTCCTGTGGTCTCGACAAACCGATAGCTTTTTTTTTTTTTTATGTTTCAGGAAAACTTCCATAGATCATGTAAATTTTGAGTCTAGCTTTGGGGAGCGTCAGGTTACTGTCTTTTATCAACAGTCCCTAATGGATTTTCATACCTTAGTTTCCCCAAAGCTTCTTCCTTGAGGTAATTCTCAACTGACTTTTTTTTTTTTTTCTGAGCAGGAAATACCTCTTTCATGTTCTAGTGAGGGTGTAACACAGTAGTCATGAACAGACGGCCTCATATTGTATTTATAGTTTGCAGCTCAAGAGCTGTAGTATGTACTCAAGAGCTGTAAGATCTTAGTTGTGCCAGTTCAGGCAGAAAGTGTCTCACTTGGTAATCTTTTATTCCCCTCCAGTCCTAAAGCCTTTAGAACAAGACATTAAAGCGATTTTTACATTATCACTGCTTGCTATTATTTATCCTTTGATGTTTTCTAATGAGTAAAATTACACTCACTGTCAAGGTAGCATTTGAATTCTCTGTCTACCAGGAGTTTGCGTTTTTACAGGCGACTGGCCCTTTAAAAAAACAAAATTAGAGCCGAGCGAGAGAGAAGGCTGGGCCCAGGGTCCGTAAAGACCGCTTATCAAGATTCTTCCGGGAAAGGAACCCAGAGGCCAGACACAGAGCATGCTGGGATTTGCAGTTTATCTACTGTCATCGTCTCTGTATCTCTCTCTGCTCTGGAGCGAGGGATGGACTACACCTCCCAGAGGGCCAAGCGGCGGCGGCGCGTCCTGTGCTCTAGCCGCTCCTGGGCGGCTAGTTCAAGTTGCCATAGCTGCGAGTCCCGGGTGAGCAGAGTCGGTTGCTGCCGCCGCGTTGGGTCAGTTGCACCTTCGGGGTCTCTGGTTGCCGCGGGAGCCGGGTGGGGCCTCGGCGATGATCCGGCGTTAAGAACCTGGAGTCACCTTGGGTCTAAGGTACCTGCCCCATTTGCTCCCTTTTCCTTTTTCTTACTTCCCTCTGCAGAGACATTTAAGTCCCACTTCCCCGTTATCTCTGGGTGGAGACGCCAGAGCTGTCGGGGTACGTGGGATGGGGCCGGGTGTGCGGGTGCAGTGTTCGGTGAAGTGGGGGTGATGGCGTGTTTGCACCCTCAACGGGTCGTCCTCGGTCAGGTCCTGGCAGCCTCACCCTGAATGTATGTTGTCCTTGCTTTGGAGCAGCTTGCCACGGGCGAGCCACCTAGACGCTTTAGCTATCTGACATTTAGTTGACTGCCCCGAGGGTGCCTCTGTGTCCTCTAGCCACTTGATTTTTCCTCTGCTAATTAAGGAGATGCCCGCGTCCTAGTGGGTTAGCAGTCCCCTTTTGGAATTGATTCGTAGAAATACCAAACCTTGAATACAGTATTGGTTTTATGGACCTGGTCTGCTAGGCAAGGTTCGGTAATGCTCTATGCTGCAGCTTCCGGTCGGGATTATGCAAAAATATTTGGCGCAGTGCCTAGCACAAAGCCAGTTTTCAGCCCTTCTTCCTAAAACTGGTTGTGTCTAACAGAAATACCATGTGAACCCTACAGGTGGTTTTTATTTTTATGGTGCCAGTATTAAAAGTAAAAGGAAGCTTCTGAGGTTAATCTTAATTTATTTGGCAAGTACGTAAAATATGTATTTGGTATGTAGTAAATATCAAATTTATGCACACACACAGACACACACACCACTCAGACAGGGTGACAGAGTTTCACTGTGTGGTCTTGGTTACCCTGGAATATACTATGTGAATGGGCCAGATAGGTCTCCAAGTCACAGAGATGCACCTGCCTCTGCTTCCATAGGGCTGGGATCTAAGGTGTGTGGCACCACCTGAGATATATTTTATGCTTTTTGAAGATGGTATTGGATGTTCTGAATCTGGCATTTATTATTATTTTATATTTATAGTGTATCAGTTTGAACTGGCCAGATTTCTAGAGTCATAGCCACATGACTGCGGCCTTGGTCAGCACAGAGGGAAGATAAACGTTGACAGCTGTACACTGCAGAGAGCATTTGTTCTCAACTTGTGGGTCATGACCCAAAAGGGTCGACTGGCCTTTTCACGGGGTTGCCTGAGACCATTAGAAAATACGGAAATTTGGTATTTCATTATGTTTTGTTTTTCGAGGCAGGGTTTCTCTGTATTGTTTTGGGGCCTGTCCTGGAACTCGCTCGGTAGACCAGGCTGGTCTCGAACTCACAGAGATCCGCCTGCCCCTGCCTCCCAAGTGTTGGGATTAAAGGCGTGCGTCACCAAAGCCTGGCTTTCATTATGATTTGTAACAGTAGCAAGGTTACAGTTATGAAGTGGCAAGGAAAATGATTTTCTGGTTGTGGTCACTACAGCGTGAGGAACTGTATTAAAGGGTAGTGGCATTAGGAAGGGTGAGAACCACTGGCATAGAGAGATTTCTTTGTGCCTGGGACTCATGTGGTAAAGCTGGCTACTTTGTTAGAGAAGTGTGTATTAAACCACTGCGTAACTGGCCACTCTGAACGTGTCTCAGTTTCTCAGGATACACTTCTTGAAATGACTTATTCATATACATGGACAGTGGTTTTCTTAGATAATTTTTTTCCTGTGGATTCTTACAGTTTTAAAAGTAGGTATAAAGTCAGGGGGTGGGGGGCTGCTGGGGGGGGTGAGGGAGGAGGGGAGGGAGAGGGAGCTGGGGTTGACATGTGAAGCAAGCTGTTTCTAATTTAAATACAAAAATTGAAAAAAGTAGTTATAAAGTGTTGAAAACATGTCTACCCACTGCACTTTCCTACAATCAAATGCATAATGCTTTTATTTATTTGTTTTACTACTGTGAGAACTGATCAACCATATAAAATATGTCTTTAAAGAGGTGGAGGGTATCCTACAGTGAGCCCACAAAATCAGAAAAACAAAATTAATTTTATTACTCAGTTTAGTCTCCCAGCTGATAGATATACTCAGAGTCAGTACTTTTGGCTAGACTTGGGGTACAGTTCATCCCCTAGTGGGATGTAGTAAGTCTAATGGTGACTAGGCATGGGCAGAAAAGGCAGCCTGGGCATATGGATATCATTGGGGCTTTTGGGTGACCGTAGGAACTTATTTTCGCTGTTCCATGATATTCTCTAATCTGTAAATAGGGAAGATGAAATAATTTTCATGAAAAATTTTAAGTTATAGTTCTGTTTACTGCCTGCTTCATTGGTTTGTAGGTGTTTTGGGGGAAGTGTAGAGGCAACCCAAAAGATCATCTACTTGACTAGACCTTTTGCCCGGAATCTCATGAAGAAATGATAGGAGGTAGGCATCCGTGCCTAAGAAGAGCACTGAGCTCAAAGGACAGCAGCACAGAATTCTGGGAGTGTACTTTGTAAGTATCCGTTCTCCTTGAGTTTAGCGTCTGAGGAAATCTTTCACGTTGTTGTAGATTCAAAGTGGAAAGGGTATGCCAGCCGGAGGAATTTGGGGGTGGGGCTCAATGTGGGGGGCAAGAAGCTCCTTTTTGAAATTAGTATAAAATTAAAACAGGGTAGTTGTTTTAATTTGAAAACTTAAAAAAATTCAGGTGAACAGATACATGTAGCTATGCTTTCACCTTTACCAAAAACAACAGCGCAGCTGTATGTTAGATGTTTGGGAACCCGCCCTAGCCCAGATACTGCTCGAGGTTCCTTTCCTACGCATTGTATTCAGTTCTTTTTCATGCTTATCTGCGCTTGTCAGATCCATGTCTGAGGCACAGATAGACTATTTGCTTGGAAATTCTTGAGCCCAAAGAGTGATCTTTATTTCCAGATCTTCCGACTCCAGATTCCCAATCCTGCTGCTGTACAGGCCTTGTGTGACTGTTTGGAATTGTTCTCTAGTGGAGTTGACTTACACACTACAGTTTTGGACTGATCATTTTATATGTTTAAAGGTTCCTCCCCCGCTTTTTTTTTTAAAGCAAAATGGATACTCTATTGAAGTAAATAGTTGTAATTTGTGATTTCCATAAATTGAGTATGTTCAACACAAATTGTCATTGATTATTAAAGATTCAGTGTTAAAGCTTAATTTTTGCAATAGATTCAAAATTCCAGACTTTGAAAAAATTGCCTTTCATTGTATTTTGATGGTGAAAAGGCATTGACACACAGAAGCATTTTGAGGCCTTGCGATAAATTCCACTCAAGATTTCTGATGTATAAAATTCTTAGAATTAAAGATTTTAGAGTTAGAAAGACATAAAAGCCTAGTAGGTTAATGTATTTCAGGAATTCTCACGGGCACACATTGACATCTGCAAATGCTATAAAGATATTTCAGAGTGGCCTCACTATTATGCCTTTAATATGTTAGGGGGCTCCTTAGGCAGGTTTGAGTGTAGTCTTACTATTTATCATCTGTTTGTCTGTGTAACAATGTATTGTTAAATGGTCACACAAATAGAGTCTACTGTCTCACTCTCCTTTTGAGACAAGGTTTGGAATACAGTTTAGGCTGGCGTGGAACTTGGGATCTCTGCCTCAGCCTCCTGAGCATTTTAGGTGTGTTCCACTATCTTGGGCCTGTGCCCAGCTTTGTGGTCTAGTGATTAGATGCATTTAACATATTCCTCATCAGGGAATTTTGTTTATAATTCTTAAATGAAGTTCTCATACATACATCCTATACATGAGTTGTGGGCACCCCCCCCCCATACCCTTTTATTTTCTTGAGATTGAGTCAAAGAGGGTATATTTACATTACTTGTTTTTGCCAAGTTACTCTCTAGAAGAGCTGCTCTTATTTCTATAGGTAATATACTTTCCCTTTCCCTGTTGTGTGCAAGTGTTAGGATGTGCTTTGTGTGTGTAGAAGTCAGAGGACAGCTTTTGGAATTGATTCTCTTCTTGCATTGTGGGCTCCAGGGATCAAACTCAGGAGGTCAGGCTTGCTTAGACAAGAGCTGTTATCTTTTGAGCCACGCTTTCAGCCTCTATAACTAGTACTCGTACACTGAATGCCCTTGTCAGCCTCGAGGGTAAGAGCTTTGCTCATTTGTCCAAAACTGATAAACAAGGACACCATTTTATTGTTTCAGTCTGTAATTCTCCAGTGCGATGAAGTATATTTATGCATTTTTTAGGGACATTTGTACTCTGCGAACTGCCTGTTTCTGTGTCCTTTGAGACTTTCACTACCGCAGTGTTATTATTTTTGTGTGCTTTTCAGAGATCTAATTAACCCCCAGTTTCTGTATAATGCAAATATTCTGAGTTTTCCCTTTGCTTCTGGTGTTGTGTTATGATATTTAGGAATGACTTTAAGAGAGTCAGTGAGTCTATGTCAGTATTCATCTTTCTACAGTTAATATAACCCTTAGCATAAATCTGTATACTGCTAAAGCCTGAAGGTTTGTGGAGAAGTCAGCGTTTGTGGCTCCATGAATCCATTTAGCTGATGGATATTTGGAATCTGCTATGCATACAGGGTTTGTCATGAAACAGGTGCTCCTGAGTGAATGAATGAGTACTTGTGAATGAACAAGCTCATGCATGAATGGGTGTGTGAATTAAAGCTGAGCTGGAGTTAGGCTCTTTAGAATAAAAGGCATCATTGTGGAAGAAGTGGACTATGATTGTTATTTTAAAGGATGAATAATCAATTTTATAGTTTGAGGAGAAAAGGTAAAGCTTGATGGTTGGCAGGTGAAGGCTTTTAAAAGCTCAAAATGAGTTTTTTCATGAGCAGATATTGGTGTGTTGAAACTGCCGATGATGATCTCAGGTAAAGAGACCATGGGATTTGGAGTTTAGAGCTTGACAGTACAGGTAATTGAAGACTATAAGTAGCTGCAAATGAGCATTATAAGCTCAAATGATTTCACAAATAACTGAGTATATTTAGGTTTGATCCAGTCACTAGTAAGTTTTAGTATATACTACATTGATTCGAAATGCTGCCTTGCTTACCATATAGTGGACATTAGTATTAATAGTATTCATATTAATAGAATGCAGCTCAACCAATATTGTTTTAGGACTTCAAACTATTTAGAACATCTGTTAATGAAATTTCTCTATTTAATAATTGCTTAAGTAGGATTTGCTGTTTATAAAGCCCTGTACTTTGAACTTTGTTTCTGGATTAATCAGACAGGATAATTAAAAAAATGTCTACTTGCAAATTAATTTGATAATGGTCCAGTACATGTCAGACACTATGCTGAGTGCTGGGCTTCAACCATATCTAAATCCATTTTGTGTTTCTTTAAGAGAATATTTGAAGCTGAGTGATTTATGTGGTTCATAGTTCTAGTTGTCACAGGGTCCTAATAGTATAGTCCTGTGATCTGTTACAAGTCTCTGAAGTGCTAATGTGTCACATCCTGGTAGGTAGGTATGCATGAGTGGGTGAAAGGGAAAAATAGAACCAGTTGACAAAGCCAAGCTGGCTTTAAAAAAATACACTTTTCATTGGTGTAGTCCAGTTGCACAAGGCTTTAACTTGATGAGAGCTGGAGATTGACCCCCACTTTGAGGGTGCCCTTCAGTGTCCTCCCCCTAGTTCGTATCATGTAGAACATTGTTTCTCAACCTGTGGGTCATGGTCCCTTTGTGGGAGTCACATATCAGATATCCTGCATGCCAGATATTTACATTACGATTCAGGACAGTAGCGAGATTACAGTTAGGAAGAAGCAATGAAGCTTGGGTGTCACCATGAACTGAAGAACTGTATTAAGGAATGGCAATATTAGGAAGGTTAAGAACCACTGACATAGGGGTTCCACTGATGTTAGATTGCCAATCTTAGAGCTCAAGCTTCCGGCAAGTAAACTTTTGTGGGGATAAAACATATATAAAGCATGGCAAACCATGAGTAAACCAGTCTTTGTTGAGATTTAGAGACTTTGTGGATAGACAGGAGAGAGCCAGTGAGAACTGCCGAGGCCAGGTTGAGGCAGATTATCTGTCAAGGGATTACAGCAGAGGGCACTGGGCCCAGAGTCGGTGTGGGGCAGAGAGGGGAGGCTTTCCAAAGTTGCTTCTTCTGTCTTGACCAAGAAGTAGGAGGCAAGGATGGCTGGCTAGGAACATGGGCCTTAGAGAAAGGTTCAGAGTAAAGAGAATGCTCTGGGCAGTAAGAATGGGATAAGCTTAGGCATGTCGGTGAGATGACTGCACATAGTTGCGTAATTGAAGAAGCGTTCCATGACAAATAGCCAAAGTTTGTGGGGATGTTAGTAAGTGTCTTACTTCAGGGATGCAGCCCTAAGATTTCAGAGCTGTGAGAGGAAAGACTATCTCTGTCTGAAGAGGGAAGACTTCCTGAGACGGTAACTAGCTATGCCTGAAGGATGATTGTGCTAAGTGGGGATAGTGACTTCATGGGCTTAGTGGAGGCTGTGAGCAGGGTGACTAGCTGGGGTCTTGAATTCCTGATTCACAAACCTCGACTCAGTCATGGAGGCCGAAGGAAGGAGACACGAGGAAGCTGTTTTCATGGCTTGGAAAAGTACAAGATTTAGACTCCCATTTTGTTATTGTAATTTTTTAAAACAAAGTAATTGTGGGCTAGTACTTTACTCAAACTGCTGTCTCCCTTTACAGCATAAGCAAGGTTATAGTTATAGCATCTTTACAGGATTGCAATACAAATCATGAGAAAATGCTAATGAAAATACTTCCTAAGCTCTAAAGCAGGGTGCAAATTAAAGGTAAATGCACTATGAGATGACTGTCTTTCTTGCAGTTGTTTTCTAGGAAATCAAGTAGTTTCTGTTTCCTTTTAAAATTAGGAAGAAATAGTATGCTTTGTGATGTAGACAGATAGCATGCTTTCATTTTTTTAACAAAACTCTGAAATTATTGTACTTTTAAAGTTGCTTTCCCCCCTTAAAACTTGATAGGTTGTCATTTGCTACACTACCTGCACACGCGCGCGCGCGTGTGTGTGTCTGTGTGTGCGCATGTGTGTTCTGACTTGAAAGCTTCCTTTTTCCTTCTATCATTGGAAGGGTGTCACATATATCTGTAGTCTGAAACCATCATGTTTTCTCAAGGAAAGTCAGGTTGAGAGCAAATAACTCTTTCAGAACCAAAATCAAGTCAACTGTTGCACAACAGCCGGCCTTTGCTGTATGGCCAACAGAACCTTGGAGACATACAACAATAAACAGTTCTGTTCCCTACAGTCCCCTGCGTTCAGTAACCTACAGGGGTTACATAAGGTGTCTACTTAGCATGGCTAGACCTGTTCAATTGACAGGGGCAGCTGACTGGTTTTTCCACTCTAGGCTGGAAGACCTAGGACATTTATGTGTGTCCTATGTCCTCCACTTGATAGCCTGAGAAGAGTTTCAGGAAGTAAGGTGGAAAAGGACAGGAGAGTTGTGGGAGATCG